AGAGAGAGAGAGAGAGAGAGAGAGAGAGAGAGAGAAAGAAAGAGAGAGCGGAGACAATTAGAAGCACGGCCGGAGTCACGATCTATCCGATTGCGCCCGTCTTTATCATTATAACCGCTGATGTTTGCTGTCAGCTCATGGCCGTATTTGCACAGAGCATGCGCCGCACCGCTCGCACGTCAGACGTTGTTGCGTCGCAATGGTGAATGCAAGTTCGATATTAAGCCGACGGGCGGGCACGCCAGACTACACATCAACGCTCGTTTGTTTCCCTTAGCATTCCCCACTGGAAAAGATTAGCATTTAATGTGTTTCCTGTGCAAACAAGACTTCGCACAGCGCGCTGCAGCCGCGCGTGCTGCATCCTTCATTGCTCTTCAGACAGTAGCACGCACGGCGTTTTTATCGCCACGCCGTGCGGAAAATTTATTTTTTTCAATTTCGAGTTTCACGAAAGAAAAATTAATATTCGTCAATGTTTTCTAAAACGTTGTCTGCGCGAACCAGGAACATAACGCTGTGTTAAATGGCAGCACACGCGTGCAGTAGTACGCGTGCTGCACGCGTGTTTATTATTTTTTTTTCAAAGCGTATTTTAAATTTCAGCACCGTTACTATTTAGGCTCACTGATTCTTACCATCTGATAGTGCTTATATTTGTGATAGTTTGTTCGCCAACAGCTTCAAAAATAGTAAATACAAAAAGATGAAACGAATGGCCATATACTACGGCTGCAGGATAACGTTAGATTTATGGATGAGTTTAGGTCTTAGCTTTACGGGAGACACTGAAAACAAGGAAAGCAGGAAAACAAAGCTAATCGGATGTGTGGCGTGACGGTTCGCTGACATCGGTCATGAATCTCGTTCAAGAGCATAATAGCAGCCGATGCCCGTACGCACATGCTCTGAGATTTATTTCTATTCGCCACATGCTGCGACATGTTCCATCTTTAATGGAAAGCTGTTGTTGCTCGAACCTGACGTTTACACGCATGTAAACCATGTAA